GATCGCAAACAAATGCGACATTTTAAAAGTTATCAAAAGTCAAATTTTCCCCTAATTTTGATTATTTTTTATGTTAATAATGAAATTTGATCTTACCCAAAGAGTGACCTGTAAAAGTAACTCGATATGATCTAAATATCGGATCTCTGAGAAGAGGCTCAATATTTGACCATATCTTATTAATGGCTTTGGAAAAATAGGGATTTACCTGAAAAATAATTGATTTTTATCAATTATACAAGAGCAAAATATGATAAGTAATAAGATTAGTTATTCTCTAGAAATCTGCACAATATTTTTCACCTTTACACAGTTAAAGTCCAATTTTAATTTCAAATCTACTAGTTTAAAACCTATTCCCTAAAAAACTTAACTAGCAGTCAGCCATCGATGAGTATTAATCTTTTTTGCACATGATTTTATCATAATTTTTTTTAAACTAAGAAAAATCCTCATAATTATCTGATATTGATGAACATTGTAGCAAATACGTGATTGAATCTCACGCCAAACATTACCATTCCAACACCAAGAAAATTCTTGCCATTATTCAGTGACTGCCATCCTTCTAGGAATAACTGCTTTCGTGTTTTTGTTCCTCTGAATATGATTATTATTTCTTTCAAAATATCCGATCTGATCGTGTAAAATGCACACGAACTCTGAATAACATCACATGTGGTGCTTCCTGAACTGTAGATTATCCATTCTTCCCGGCTTGGTAATGTACTGCAAATATTTTTAAATAAAAATTGCAAAATTAAGTAATTGATAAAAATTACCTCACAGCTGGAACTTTTGAGGGAATGTTTTTTAAATAAACTTTGAAAATGATAAAAAATCCATTGTTTCAATACTAAACAGAGTATTGCATTGAGAGACTTAAATATTAGTCATTTTAGTTAGTAGTTGAAGCCAAAAATACTACTATAAAAAGAAGAATTTCAATAATTTCTCTTACTTTTTAACACAGTCTTGAGGTTGTAGTGAATAAGCCCCAGCTGCAAGGTTAAGTAAAATTTTAGCCTCTGTTTCATTGTAATTTGTTACACGTAATGCTGTCGTGCAAATAGAAATCAACGTCAAACTAAGTACCACAAGAAAAATCAACATCTTTTTTAAGCACCTACTGAAACCAATTTTTCATGCAAAAATCTGGAAATAATCAACAGCTGACAGTAAAAAAGTTATGTATACGTGGTAGCATGCTATTGTTACCACTACTACTACTATTGATAATAAAAATAATAATGACAATAATAATAATAATAATAATATAAATTATCCTAATTTTTATTAATATCTTGGGGTACACTAATTTTTAGTCACATCATTACGTATCCTATTTTTTGAATTTATCCATTCAAATTTAATTTTTATTTTGTTTGCTTCAAGCCAAATTTATTTCCTTTGTATAAAAAAGATTTAATATGAATATTGCATACATATTCCTCAATCATAACTTTATTTTAGAGTTAATAAAGAATTGATTATTGCAATCAAAAAATCAATATCAGAAGAAGGTTTTTGCAATCAAATATGACTTCATAAAATTAGTTTCAGTATTATTCTGATCACAAGTACGAACTCTGATTTATACAGTATGTGTAAGATACAAATTAATGCTTCAAAAAAGTTCATGCAAATTATTAGAAGCAAAAAAAAGAAAAATGAGAGAACAAATTTTTGCAACAAAAATTAATTACTCACATTCTGATAGA